CCTCTCTCTCTCCCTCCGACCCCCACACTGCCTCTCTCTCTCCCTCCAGCCCCACACTGCCTCTCTCTCCCCCCCTCCCTCCGGTCTCCACTCTTTCCGTCTCATTCCTACAATCCTGCCGATACAATTCACGCGTGCTGTACTTACGACAAAAAAGTTGGATTCCAATGGCGGCATCATGTACAGGGAGACAAAGTAAGCTCCTGCACCAATCACGGCTGCAATAGTGCTTATCATGTGCATCAATAATATCACTTGCTTCTGCAAAAAATTTAAGACAGGTCATTCAGCAATGCCTGGATTGATGAATCCTATCTGAGGCTGGTGTCCCTGTGTCTTCAGAAGCTACTCACTTCCTAAGCTCTTCTCACTCCATACACCACTGACCCCCCACCCCATGCTGGGCTAAGACAGCACCTTGCCCAGATACCCAGTGACTCCAGCTCCACAACATCTTGATTAACTCTCCTACTGCCAGTGGAAACCTCTGAGCTCAATACTACGGACTGTAAACAGTATGCACCATCACCTTCTCATGGCAAACTAAGACATAGAAAACAAAGGTCAGAAATCACAGATATCCTCAAGAACATATGTTCATAATACTTACAAGATGAGTATTTGATGTGTTTATAATGTCAACCACCAGTGATCCTGATATGATATACTGGGAAGAAAAAGTACATTGTATGAGAAAAACTTGCAAATATTTTGGCCCAACCAGTCCATACTGCTCTTCATTTTCTACATGTCTCCTCCCATTCCACCTGCCTCACCTCAGCCTTTTGATGCGCCTTTCTATCCCCTTTCCTCTTAAATTGTGATATATTGAAAAGTGCCCGTATTACAGAAGAGGAGGTGCTGGACGTTTTAATACATATAAAGCTAGGTAAATCCCCAGAACCTGACCAGGTGTACCCTAGAACTCTGTGGGAAGCGATTGCTGGGCTCCCTGGTGAGATATTTGTATCATCGATAGCCACAGGTAAGGTGAGGTTGGCTAACGTGGTGCCATTGTTTAAGCAAGGTGGGAAGAAAAAGCCAGGGATCTATACATAGAACATAGAACAGAACAGGCCTGTTGGCCCACTATGTCGTGCCGACCTATTATCCTACTAAGGTCAATCTACCCTGCACACCCTACATTTTACTATCCTCCATGTGCCTATCCAAGAGTCGTTTACAAGTCTCTAAAGTATCTGACTCCACTACCACTGCTGGCAACGCATTCCACACACCCACCACTCTCTACACCAGTGAGCTTGACATTAGTTGTGGTTAAGCTTTTGGAGGAGATTTTGAGGGACAGGATTTGCGTGTATTTGGAAAGGCAGGGTCTGATTAAGGATAGTCAATACGGCTTTGTGCGTGAGAAATCGTGTCTCACAAATTTGATTTAATTTTTTGAAGAAGTAACAACAATTGATGAAGGCAGAGCAGTAGACATTATCTAGAGGGACTTCAGTAAGGTGTCTGACGAGGTTCCACATGATAGACTGGTTAGCAAGGTTAGATCACATGGAATCCAGGGGGAACTAGCCATTTGGATACCAAATTGACTTGAACTTAGGAGACAGAGGGTGATGGTGGAGGGTTGCTGGTGTGTCACAAAGATCAGTGCTGGGTCCACTGCTTTTCGTCATTTATATAAATGATTTGGATGTGGATATAGGAGGTATGGTTAGTAAGTTTGCAGATGACATGAAAATTGGTGGTGTAGTCGACAGCAAAGAAGGTTATCTCAGAGTACAATGAGATCTTGATCAAATGGGTAAATGGGTCAAGGAGTGGCAGGTGGAGTTTATTATAGATAAGTGAGAGGTGTTGCATTTTGGTAATGCAAACCAGGGCAGGACTTATACAGTCAATGGTAGAGCCCTGGGGAGTGTTGCTGAACAAGGGGACCTAGGGGTGTAGGTTCATAGTTCCTTGAAAGTGGAGTTGCAGGGTGACAGGATGGTGAAGGTGGTGTTTGGTACACTTGCCTTTATTGATCAGTGCATTGAGTACAGGAGTTGGGAGGTCATGTTGCAGCTGTACAGTACATTGGTTAGGCCATTTTTGGAATACCGTGTTCAATTATGGTCTCCCTGCTACAGGAAAGATGTTGTTAACTTTAAAGGGTTCAGAAATGATTTACGAGGATGTTGCTGGGTTGGAGGGTTTGAGCTGTAGGCAGAGGCTGAATAGGTTGGGGTATTTTCCCTGGAGCATTGGAGGCTGAGGGGTGACCTTTCGTGGTTTATAAAATCATGAGGAGCAGAGGTAAGGGTGAATAGCCAATTCTTTTTTCCCCAGGGAGGAGAGTCCAAAACTAGAGGGCATAGGTTTAAAGTGAAAAGGGAAAGATTTAAAAGGGACCTTTTTCATGCAGAGGGTGGTTTGGGTATGGACAAGCTGCCAAAGGAAGTGGTGAGGGCAGATACAATTACAATAATTAAAAGGCAACTGGATGGGTACATGAGTAGGAAGGGTTTAGAGGGATATGAGTCAAATGCTGGCAAATGGAACTAGGTCAATTTAGGATATCTGGTTGGCATGGATAAGTTAGGCCAAAGAGTCTGTTTCCTGTTTATAATACTATGATTCTATAAGTACTCGTTTAGTTTCCTTGGTTTGATTGAATTATTATTGTCACTTGTATCAAGATATGGTGAAAAGCATCATTTTGCAAATCATACCTTACAATAAGAACATCAGAGTAAAAGAACAGAATGCAGAATATAGTGTTACAGCTGCAGAGAAGGTGTACAGAAAGAACAACTCTGAAATATGAGAGGTCCATTCATATGTCTGTTAACAGCGGGGAACAAGCTGTTCTTGAATCTTCAAACTTTTGTATCTTCTGACTGATGGAAGATGGTGAAAGAACCAGGGCGGGAGGGGTTTTTGATTATTTTGCACGTTTTCCCGAGGTAGCGATCCTTCCAAGGTCATTGGCGGTTTTCACCCTGACACTTGCTGTGGTAGAGAGTTCCGCATTCTCACCACTCTCTGGGTACAGAAGCTTGTGCTGAATTCCCTCTGGGATTTATGCATTGTCGTCCTGTATTTATACTTTTCCTGTTTTGGATTATCTCTCTAGTGGAAATGTTATCTCTACATCCATACAAAAAGCTAAACACCGTAGATGATGAAAATATGCAATGGAAACAGGAGGTAGTCAATGATGTCTCTGGGCTAATTATCCAGAGGTCCAAACTAATGGCCTGGGGACATACCATGGGAGCTGGTGAAATATGAAATCCACTACCTAATAAGACTGGAATTGGAAGACAGTCACAGTAATGTTATCAATAACAGTCATAAAAACCCCAGCAGTGCCAGTAGTGCAATGGATAACAAGTCTGACTGTCGATCAGAAGATTGTAGATTTGACTCTCACTGGGTGGCACTGTGGCTCAGTGGTTAGCACTGCTGCCTCACAGCACCAAGGACCCAATTTTGAATCCAGTTTTGAACAATTGTGTGGACTTTGCACATTCTCTCCGTGTCTATACGGGTTTCCCCTGGGTGCTCCGTTTTCCTCCTACAGTCCAGAGATGTGCAGGTTGGGTGGCATGGACATGGGAATCGCAGGGTTACAGGGATAGGGTAGGGGGTTGAGTCTGGGCGGGATGCTGTTCAGAGGGTCAGTGTGGACTTGATGGGCCAAATGGCCTGCTTCCACACTGTAGGGATTCTATGATTTTATGATTAAACAAACGTCCATCCCAGAAGGAAATCTGAATGACAGTTTGCTGCAGATCCATACAATGTGGTTAATTCTTAACTACCTTCTGAAACGCTCCAGTAGGTCACTCCATTTAAGCGTGTTTAAGGATAGATAAAGGTGGCACCCATACCCCTTGAAATAAGGAAAGAAAAATGGGTTTGGCCCATCAAATCAATCAACCTCTTAGTGTTCTTGAAGCTGCCATTGAGTCACCTGTCTTCCAGTTTTCTCTTTTCCAGAGAAAGGGGTCGTGAGTCTGTTCAATTGTTCCCAACAAACTGTGATGTCTGTTTTGGCTTGCTTGTGCATTTTTTCCTAAATCTAAAACATTTTAATAATGATGGGAGCTACAACTTTGCAGGCTATTTCATCCAACAAGCATCCCATGCACTGCTTCAGAACAACTTGCCAAATTCTGAATACTTTATATGATTTTATGACTCTACGACTCATAGAAATAAAATCCTGGTCTGAGAAGACATGAAGACAGATTAAGTAGAACACAGAACTCTACATCACATGAACATAGAGCAGTAAAGCACAGGAACAGGTCCTTCGGCCCACAATGTTGTGCTGAACATGACACCAAATTGAACTGATCCCTTCTGCCTGGCCTTGATCCATATTCCTCCATTCCTTGCATATTCATGTGCTTATCTAAAAGCCTCTTAAAGGACCCTATCGTTTCTGCCTCCACCACCACCCCTGGCAATGCGTTCCAGACTCCTACCACTCTCTGTGTAAAACCTTGCCCCCTCACATCTCCTTTGAACTTTCCCATTCTCACCCTAAATACATCCCCCCTAGTTTTAGACATTTCAACTCTGGGAAAAAGATTCTGTCCGAAACCCTATCTATGCATCTCATAATTTTATAGACTTCTATCAAGACTCCCCTCAGCCTCCACCACTCCAGAGAACACAACCTAAGTTTTTCTAGCCTCTCCTTATGGCTCATACCCTCTCCTTATGGCTCATACCCTCTCATCCAGGCAACATCCTGGCAAACCTCTACTGCACCCTCTCCAAAGCCTCCGCATCCTTCCTGTAATGTGGCTACCAGAATTGAAAACAATACTCCAAGTGTGGCCGAACCTAAGTCTTATAAAACTGCAACATGGCATCCTGACTCTTGTACTCAATTCCCCAACCAATAAAGGAAAGCTTGCCATACGCTTTCTTTACCACCCTATCTACTTGCGTGGCCACTTTCAGGAAGCTATGGACTTGAACGCCAAGATCCCTCTGTACCACAATGCTGTTCATGGTCCTGCCATTAACTGTACACTTTTCCTTAATGTTTGATTTCCCAAACACCTCACACTTACCTGGATTAAACTCCATCTGCCATTTCTCCACCCATATCTGCAACTGATCTATATCTGCTGTATCCTTTGACAATCTTCTACACTATACACAACTCCATCAATCTTTGTATCGTCTGCAAACTTACTAACCCACCCATCTACATTTTCATCTAAATCATTCTATATCACAAACAGCAGAGGTCCCAGTCTGGATCCCTGCAGAACACCACTAGTCAAAAACCTCCAACCTGAAAAACACCCTTCCACCACTACCCTCTGCCTTCTAACAGTAAGCAAATTCTGAATCCATGCGGCCAAGTCACCATGGATCCCATGCATCTTAATCTTCTGGATGAGCCTACCATGATGGACTTTTTTGAAAGCCTTGCTAAGATCCATGTGGACAACATCCACTGCTTTACTCTCATCGATCACCTTTTGTCATCTCCTTGAAAAATGTAATCAGGTTAGTAAGACATGACGTGCCGTGCACAAAGCCATGCTGACTATCCCTAATTAGGCCATGCTGTTCCAAATGTGCCTAAATCCTATCCCTAAGAATTCTCGCCAATAGCTTTCCAACCACTGATATGAGACTCGCTGGTCTATACTTGCCTGGATTAGCCCTATTTCCCTTCTTGAACAGAGGAACAACATTAACTATTCGCCAGTCCTCTGGATCCTCTCCAGTGGCGAGCGAGGATACAAAGATCTTGGTCAAGGCCCCGGCAATCTCCTCTCTCTCAGTAACCTGGGGTAGATACCATCGGGCGCCGGGGTCTTATCCACCTTAATGTTCTTCAAGAGACCTAACACAACTTCTTTCTTGACCTCAAAATGCCGTGGCGTACTAGAATGCCCCAAATAAATCTCACTATCCTCCATTTCCTTCTCCTGGGTGATGCAGAGTACTCATTTAGATCTCACCCACATCCTCTGCCTCCAAGGACAGGTTCCCTCCTTTATCCTTGAGTGGTCCCACCTTCTCCCTAGTTATCTTCTTGGTTTTAATGTATCTACAGAATGCCTTGGGATTCTCTTTAACCCTACTTGCTAAGGTCATGTCATGGCCCCTTCTTGCTCTCCGAGTTCCCTGCTCGAGTTCTTCCCTGCTTTCTTTATATTCTTCATGGGCTCTGTCCAATTTTAGCTTCCTAAACCTGACATATGCTTGTTGTTTTCTTTTGATTAAATCCACAACCTCCCTCGTCATCCAAGGGTCCCTTACCTTGCTATCCTTGTCCTTCCACCTTACTGGAACATGCCAGTCCTGAACTCTCATCAGCAGGTCTTAAACAATTCCCACATGTCAAATGTGGACTTGCCAGATAACAGCTGCTCCCAACTAACACTCCCTAGCTCCTGCCTAATACTGGTGTAATGTGCCCTCCTCCAATTTAGTTCCTTGCCACAAGGCCCTGATTTATCCTTATTCACAATTATCTGTGAATAAGGATAAGAATGGGCCAATATTACCCTGAATTCAGAAGCACAAAGGGCAATCTCACCAAAAGTTATGAAATCCTTGAGGGGCTTGTAGGGTTGAATGTAGGAGAGTCTAGAACAGGAACAGGGAATTGCAACCTGGGGCAACAGAGTCATATTGAACATCTCACTTGAGGCTCGAGCTGCAATGCATCAATATGCAAGAAGACTCAAAGAAATTGAGTTCAGGAAAGCAAAAGCCATATTTTCAGTGACCTGCAGAAAACCCAATCAGTCCACTGCATTTCAGCATTTCAAGTAAACATTTCAACTAAAAAGAAAACAAGATCGAAGTAGGTTTTATTTTTTGATGAAGGTTTTTGGTTTAAAAGGTCAGAAATGTTGGCAAGCTGGGAGTCGTGCATTTGGTGGGGTTGCAGTGTCACAAAGACAAATTAAGCTGTTGACCTTTCCCAAACTTGAGAAGAGGTGAGATGATTCCTTCACTCGCAGGGGAAGGAATATTCGGAATTTTCTAGTCCAGAGAGCCGTGGAGGGAACGACGAACACAAGGAGTGGTCAGGAAAACGGGTTTGAGGGAAAGGATCACACCGAATGACAAGTCAGGCCCGAGGGATTGAACAGCTGTGTTCTCCTCCATCTTCTTATGAATATCCTTGGATCATGTAATTTCTTAACAATATTTATATCAAACTGAACATACCCAAATTCCTGTCCACCAGGGAATGCCAATTAAAACAGCAAAGACATAGCTTTCAACGAAATTCAAGGGCAAACCGAACACCACCTGAATAATCCCAATCATGATCTCAGTGATCTGTAATAGAACAGGAACATGATTTCAACAAGAGTGATGTTCCACAACTCTAATCTGTTTAAACGATAATACAGCTTAGGCCTCTGTAAGCACCGCGGGAAGAAACAATTTGTCTTACACCAAATATTTTCAGTTCCCTGCTGACAAAGAAGCTTATACGTCTGAGACAGGTTCCTTCTTCCTCAATTGACTCAATATAGAGTACGGACTCATCTCCAATACCTAAAAGCTGGAGAGACAAAAAAAGACCTTTATTAAAGAATGCCTGACACCACCACAGGGTTTTTAAGGTTGTTCAAGAGAATGAAGAACATCACTTAAATGTGGCAATGTAGAGAAATACACCAAACAATTGGCACAGAGCAGGCTTTTGCGAGCAGTCATGTAAGGAGTGATCAGAGGTTGTTTCATTTTCAACAGTAATGCAAGATTGGAAAAAACACGGGAGAGAAGCCAGACTGATCTTCCTTCCAAATATGGCCATGTGATCATATACACCCACTTCTAAGAATAAACAGGATCTCATTTTCTGTTCAATCTTGTACATCAGCACAAACAACAGTATGGAACACCTACAGCACTGACCCTCAGATGGTAAGATCCGCCTTCAGCACTGACCCTCTGGATGTGCGGCACTCCTCAGTACTGACCCTCCGACAGTGCAATGGTCCCTCAGCACTGACTCTCCGACAGTGCAGCACTCCCTCAGTACTGACCCTCCGACAGTGCGGCACTCCATCAGCACTGACCCTCCGACAGTGCAACGGTCCCTCAGTACTGACCCTCCGACAGTGCGGCACTCCCTCAGCACTTACCCTCCGACAGTGCAGAGCTCCCTCAGTACTGACCCTCCGACAGTGCAACGCTCCCTCAGTATTGACCATCCGACAGTGCAGTGCTCCATCAGCACTGACCCTCCGACAGTGCAACGCTCCCTCAGCACTGACCATCCGACAGTGCAGTGCTCCATCAGCACTGACCCTCCAACAGTGCAACGGTCCCTCAGTACTGACCCTCCGACAGTGCGGCACTCCCTCAGCACTTACCCTCCGACAGTGCAGAGCTCCGTCAGTACTGACCCTCCGACAGTGCAACGCTCCCTCAGTACTGACCATCCAACAGTGCAGTGCTCCATCAGCACTGACCCTCCAACAGTGCAACGCTCCCTCAGCACTGACCATCCGACAGTGCAGTGCTCCATCAGCACTGACCCTCCAACAGTGCAACGCTCCCTCAGCACTGACCCTCCGACAGTGCAACGCTCCCTCAGCACTGACCCTCCGACAGTGCAGCACTCCATCAGCACTGACCCTCCGACAGTGCAACGGTCCCTCAGTACTGACCGTCCGACGGTGCAGCACTGCCTCAGTACTGACGCTCCGACAGTGCAACGGTCCCTCAGTACTGACCCTCCGACAGTGCAGCACTCCCTCAGCACTGATCCTCCAACAGTGCAGTGCTCCATCAGCACTGACCCTCCAACAGTGCAACG